GGAAGGCAACCAGGCAGGCACGGACGTAAGTAGGCAGACACGCAGGCAGGAAGTTAGGCAGACACCCAGGCAGGCAGGTAGGCAGGTAGACAGGCAGACAGATAAAGAAGCAGGCAGGTAGGCAGACAGACAGACACGCAGGCAGATACGGAGGCAGGCAGGCATGCACGGAGACAGGTAGACACGCAGGCAGGCACGGAGGCAGGCAGACACGCACACAAACACATACACACAAACACACACACACACAGATCCTGACACGCAGAAAAAACCTACGGAGAGGGAAAGGGAGACGGTCAGCAGAGAAGAAACCCCGACTGTGGGTAGCCCTAGAAAGCACTCTTAACAGGGCCACTAAACGTGTAGTAAAAGCGTGTATAATAGATGAAAAAAAGGAGGTTAGTTAAGCGTGTGCGTCGCGGTGTCGTAATGCGCCGTTTGTTGTGGTCGCTCGCTCCCTTTAGGTGGACTGGGGTCGTTTTTGGTGTTTGGGTGGAATGCTTTGGTTTAGAATTATTTTTATTTATTTATTTATTATTATTATTATTATTATTATTATTATTATTATTATTATTATTATTATTATTATCATCATTATTATTATTTTGTTTCTTCATGTTTTTCTTTTTCTATTTTTTTGTTTTTGTTTTTGTTTTGGGGGTTTTCGCGCGTCTTTTTTTCCCATTGTGTGCCTGTCACCGTGAACGTGATGCGGTCTGCTTGTTTTGGGTTTGCCTGTCGCCCTTTGCGCAACGCTTGCTGTTTTGCCGCTGTTGGTTGCTGGTTTAGTTTATTTTGCTTTTTGGTGGGGAGACGGGCGGACTTGCGCACGCACGTACGCAAGCACGCAAACGCACGCAAACGCACACGCACGCGCGCGCGCACACACACACAAACAAACACACACACACAAACAAACAAACACACAAACAAACACACACACAAACAAACACACACACACACACACACACACACACACACACACACACACACACACACACACACACACACACACACACACACACACACACACACACACGCAGAGGGCGGTACACAATAGGTCCACATGCAGAGAAGCAGATAGATACAGAGATTAAGCTGACGGGGAGGGCAAGCAGGCCACGCAGGTTTACAGGCCGACGTCGCTGGCAGGCTGGTAGGCAGGCAGGAAGGAGAGGCAGGTGGTCAGAGCGCCTGCCTGCCAAATAGGTGCACATGCATCTCTGCATGACTGCGATCTTGGGCTGAAAAAGCGACGGGAGCTTCCTGGTGCCTGCGTTTGTCACGGCGGGTCCGGGCTCGCGCTCTCGGTTTTCTCTCTTTCCACTCTCTTTTCACTCTCTCTTCCTCTTTCTCTTTTCTCGCTCTCTCTTTTCTCTTTTTTTTAGCCTTTTCTTTCTTTCCTCCGTTCTTTCGTTTTTTTTTTGTTTTTTTTTTTCTTTCATTCTTTGTCCCCCCCCCTTCCCTATCCATCCATCCATCCATCCATCTCACCTTCCGCCCCCCCCTCCCCCCCCCTTCTTCCTTTCCCTCCTCCCCTCAACCCCATCTCCCTTCTGCAGGAAAACGGCTCCGCTTACGCCCCCTTGCGAGCGTCGGCGCCCTTGCTGTTGCGAGGATCCGTCCGTCCGTTCCCTTGGCAGTACGTCGAGCGGGGGGGGGGGGCGTCGCCAGAGTAGCGGGTTCGTGAGCGGCTGTTGTCACGTTGACAGAGCGGGCGAGCGGGGAGTGAAAGTGGCGAGCGGGGAGGGGGGGGGAAGGGGTTGGTAGGGAGATGCAGGGGGGAGGGGAAGGCGAAGGGGGAGAGGGGTAGGGGGTGGGGGTGGGGGGTTAAAGAGGGTGGAAGGGGAGAAGATGGATTGGGTGATGGGAAGAGGGAAGGGGGAGGATTGAGGAAGGAGGAGGGAAGAGGGGAAGAGTGAAGAGAAGGAGGAGGAGGGAGGAGGGGAGAAGGGAAAGGGGTAAGTGAGATGGGGACAAAGCGGATGGAAGAAAAGGGAAAAAGGGGAAGGGAAAAGAGGGGAGGGGAAGGGGAAAAGAAGGGAGGGGGGTGGGAAGGGGAAAAGAAGGGAGGGGGAGGGGATGGGGAAAAGTGGGGAGGGGGGTGGGAAGGGGAAAGAGGGAGCGAAGCGGAAGGGGGGGGGGTGGGGGCCCGACGTCGCTGGCAGGCTGGTAGGCAGGCAGGAAGGAGAGGCAGGTGGTCAGAGCGCCTGCCTGCCAAATAGGTGCCCATGCATCTCTGCATGACTGCGATCTTGGGCTGAAAAAGCGACGGGAGCTTCCTGGTGCCTGCGTTTGTCACGGCGGGTCCGGGCTCGCGCTCTCGGTTTTCTCTCTTTCCACTCTCTTTTCACTCTCTCTTCCTCTTTCTCCTCCTCCTCTTTCTCCTCCTCCTCTTTCTCCTCCTCCTCTTTCTCCTCCTCCTCTTTCTCCTCCTCCTCTTTCTCCTCCTCCTCCTCCTTTCTCCTCCTCCTCTTTCTCCTTCCTCCTCTTTCTCCTCCTCCTCCTCCTCCTCCTCCTCCTCCTCCTCCTTTCTCCTCCTCCTCCTCCTCCTTCCTCCTCCTTCCTCCTCCTCCTTCCTCTTCCTCTTTCTCCTCCTCCTCCTCCTCTTTCTCCTCCTCCTCTTTCTCCTCCTCCTCTTTCTCCTCCCTCCTTGTTGCATCGAGCTTTTAGAACGCGAACACAAAGGGCAGACGAGAAGACCGGATGATGATGATGATGATGGGGATGATGATGGTGATGGTGATGGTGATGGTGATGGTGATGATGATGGTGATGATGATGGTGATGATGATGGTGATGATGATGATGATGGTGATGATGATGGTGGTATAGTGACAATCAGGGTGATGAACTTTGATGATCGTGGTGGTGATAAACTTGATGGCGACAATGAAAATGGAAATAGTGAGGACGAGGAGTGGTGTGCGTGTATGTATGTATGTGCGTGTGTGTGTGTGTGTGTGTGTGTGTGTGTGTGTGTGTGTGTGTGTGTGTGTTGTAAGGAGGGAGGGGAGGGGAAACTCGAGAAGCACGTGTTGCGAAGTTAAAGGTTGAAATTTGCATGAATTACGGGGCCGTGATTGCGTCCCCCCCCCCCCCCCCACGTGAGGGAGACGCCGTCGAGAGTACAGGTGAAAGTGTAGCCTCAGGTATGGTGGCCGCGGGGCGAAGCGGCGCCGTGATCATGCGCGGTTTTGTTGGCGTTTGGGGGGGGGGGTCGAGTCTCTTCGGTCTCTGTCCGTCCGTCTGTCTTCTCTTTTTCTCTTTTTCTATGTTCTCTTTTTCTCTTTTTCTATTCTTTCTTTCTCTTTCTCACTTTCTCTCTTTCTCACTTTCTCTTTTTCTCTCTTTCTCTCTTTCTCACTTTGTGTATATATGTATGTATGTATGTATATATTATTATGTATTATAATATTATTATGGATTGTAATATTATATATATTATAATATTATATGTATTAGGAAATTATATACATTAGGAAATTATATATATTAGGATATATATTATATTATATATTATATTATATATATTATATATTATATATTATAATATTATAATATTATATTATATATTATAATATTATAATGTTATAATATTATATTATATATTATAATATTATAATATTGTATTATATATTATGATATTACATATTATGATATTACATATTTTATATTATATATTTTATATTATATATTATATTATATATTATATTATATATTATATTATATTATATTATATTACATATAGTATTATATTATATATTATATTATATATTATATTATATATTATGTTATATATTATAATATTATATTGTATATTATATTGTATTATATATTATATTGTATTATATATCATATTGTATTATATTTCATATTGTATTGTATTATGTTGTATTATATATTATATTATATATATTATATATATATTGTATATATATATTGTATATATATATTATATTATATATATATATATATATATATATATATATATATATATATATATATATATATATATATATATATATATATATATATATATATAATGTATGTATGTATGTATGTATGTTAGGATGATGCATGCATGTGCTTGTATGTCTGCCTTATATTGGGACTATTAGAATGTGTATGCGGCCAAATATCTCTTCTGCTTTTTTTGTGAATAAAAGCTATTCCATTTTTTCTCATTTTCGTGCCTTCGAGAGTTGTTACTGTACATGTAACTGTATCAGTTCCGGGGGTCGCTTTCCTATCCTCCTGTGTCGCGGGCTGTAACTGTTTCTGTCTGCTACTATTTCCTGTGTTGATGGCGCTGTTGCAGTAATTGGCTTTGTTAATTGTTAGTCTTGATTGTTTTTCTTTATGATATTTAAGTCTTTGGGTCTGTCTGTTGTTGGGTGTAAATAACTGTTTTATTGCCAAGTCAGTCATGTTTTTGATAATGGAATTTGATTGGGTCGTCTCGTTATCTAGGAGTTGTCGGTGATGAAGTTTGGGAAGGTGTCGATTTTTTTTTTTTTATTGTATCGTATTGTATTTTGCTGTACTGTATTGCATCGCATTGTATTGTGTGTGACAGTCTTACTAGGATGACACAGACGGCTTTGAATGTCGGCACCTCTTCCTCTTTCTCGTCTTCTCCTCTTCCTCTCCTCCTCTCTCTCCCTCGTCATTCTTCTTCCCTCTCCCTCGTCCCCTCTTCCTCCCTCTCCGTCCTCCCCTTTCCTCTCTCCTCTGTCCTCTTACCCTCCCTCTCCGTCCTCTCTTCCCCTTTCCCTCGTTCTCTCCCCCCTTTCCCCCCTTTCCCTCGTCCTCTCCCCCCTTTCCCCCCTTTCCCTCGTCCTCTCCCCCCTTTCCCCCCTTTCCCTCGTCCTCTCCCCCCTTTCCCCCCTTTCCCTCGTCCTCCCCTCCCCTCTCCCTCATGTAATCCCCTTCCTTGACCGCCGTCCCCCTCGTCACCCCAGCCAGCGTTGTCACAGCATGCGTCTTTCCTCCCGCAGGCACACGTGAAATTTCCGCCCGACTACCCGTACTCGCCGCCGTCGGTGCGGTTCCTGACCAAAGTGTGGCACCCCAACGTCTACGAGAACGGCGACCTGTGCATCTCCATCCTCCACCCGCCCGTGGACGACCCTCAGAGCGGGGAGCTGC